ACTGGAAGATCACTGCTTCTCTGTGCAACTTCAGTTATACGCTCAACATCACGTTTCGTTCGAGTAGAATGTTGAGATCGTAATAATCTAAAGTAATTAAATAATTGTAAAAATTAACATGAGAATTGAAATAAAATGTTTTCTCATTCATATACCGTTGTTGTATAGCATATTGTACACTTGATATACCAGAACAGAATGAAGTAGGAGTAGTAGATTTTTTTGGAGGATAGGTTTTTTTAACTCTCTTCAATGTAGGTAATTTTGACGATTTGTTTGGCATCACGTAGTCGTATGTCTAGATAAACGGTACAATGAAAAAAATGACAATGAACACACGTTAATTGTTATGTTTTTTATTTATAGTTACGAAAAGAGAAAGAAAGACAGAGAGAGAAAGAGAGAGAGAGAGAGAGAGAGAGAGAAAAGTGAAGAAATACGACATTTCATCCACTTGAATATGTCGACAACTAGAAAAGAAAGAGAAAGATGAGAAACACTTGTCTTCTCATCTTTCTCTTTCTTTGCTGCATCATATAACATACTTGACACACAAGCGATTATGTTAAATAATAATTCAACATCGACAATTACAACTATCGAAAGCTAAATTGCTATTGTATTTTAATGCATCTCACATTTTAGAGAATGGCTTTGTTGTTTAAAAAAAGTTTTCGAAGAAATGTGCGCTAATGCTGTTCTCATTATTTTAAAACGAGAAAAAAAAACATTCAATCATCTATGCTTACCTATACTAGCACAAGTGAAACTACCGGGCAGTAGTAAAAATACTTTTGTCGATCAAATAAATGTGTACACAAGTAATAGATGAAAAATATATTCAACGCCAAATCGACTGCAAGATAATGGACACGAACACAATGTACATAGAATTCTAATATACCATTTTACAAATCTACTGACAAGAATAAAAGATTTGACATTTCATATTATGTCAAATAGTAACAACTATAGGACAGTAGTTTGGGAAATATTTACTCAATATTAAAGATCAAAATATGGACATAATTTCATATGCATGTCAACTTTGTTTTCTCTCATTATAGAAACGAACACATTAATCAATATTTTCCTTTCTCGCATATTTTGATAAAAATGAAGAAATTAGTAAACTATAGAAAAAAAAATTGGCGTTTTTCTTTAACGTACTAAATTACAAAATGCTGAATTACTATAAGGTTGTTTATTGATTTTACATATAAATTTATAGGCAAGAATCAACGTTTTTGTTTTGTCATCCATTTTCACATATTCTGATTTCATCATGCAAGAGCATGTGTGTTTGTGTCCAATAGAAAAAAACAATTTTCAAGAAAAAAAAATAAAAAAAGTTAGTTAATTAAAAAAATGATATGTATATCCAGCAAGAAATTTCTTGTAATTTGTAATTATTCTTTAATTGGTACATTTTTAGCGTCTCATATATAGATACATGCATTAACGATGATGTCTAATTGACATTAATATACGTCTAAAATTGATGTGATCAATTTAACTGATATCTTTCTATATAATAATTAGACAAATGATTTATCATTATCGTATCGTCAAGGATTGTAAAAACATTTGTAAATATTATTGATTATAATGTCTACTTCAAACGAATTGGTAACTAGTTAATTTCTTTTACATACATAAGATAAATTATAGAAATCATCTATTTGTTTTAGATGTCAATAAAATATAAGGAACAAGATCTGAAACTGATTGACAATATAAAAAACGGCAGTATTTGATCGTTGTCAACAAAGAAAACCAGAGTTCACTATTAGCTGCAAAAATGAACATGAATTGTTACGCCACATATTTTCGGTTTTATTTAAAATTGTTTTTTTTTTCATGTCTTCATGTTTTTGTAGCCAAACGAGTCAACCAAATTGCAAACCGAAGAAATTCAAAGCAAAAGATACAATATTAATTGTAGATGATGACTGTCTGCTGGCTGAACCCAATCGTCCTTTTGAATAATGATATTTCTTTTTTTTGTGTGTAGAGATAGTAATTTATTAGTATAGTTAATTATTAAAAATAAATTGCTGCAATATGTTCTATGTGTAGAAGAAGAAGTGATTTGGAAGAAATACATAATATACTTATTGAAATCTTACTAACTGTTTCAGCATTTCATTATCTCATAGAATAATGAAAAACATCATAATACAACACTTTGTATTTAACAAGAGAAGAAAGTTCTTGATGATATATTTCAAAACCAGCGTAGTAGTTGTTTTTTTGGTAAGAAATATTGTTGTTTCATTGTTTGCAGGTATGTTGACATTCGATTTTTTTCTGTGTTATTTATCTAACATTGGTTAATCGTACTCGATTTTATGATTGTATTGAACTATGATTTGTTTTTCAAAAATAGTTGTTTTCTCGTTCCTCTTCGTTTTCTTTTGCATAGTATACGTAAACAATCGTTGATGTAGCAAAAATAGTGAACTTGAGCTCAGTATTGTTTATAAACTTTTATCTTATGACAGATATTTTAATTCAAAGATAATCTTGACATTGTAATTGAAGTAATTATGACATATTCTATGTATTAAAATATTTCTCATGTATTACTTAAAAATAATCAGCCTTGTTTTTTTGAATATTTTCTTTGAAAATAACTTGTAGTCTATGATAAATCAATAAAAAAAAAACTTCTTTCTTCATATAGAATTTAACAGGTGGATTTGAATTGTACTATTATGGTATCATCCATTAAGAGGCAAAGTGAGTTTCCAAAATCAAGACGCTTTCAAAGGAATCATGTATGTTTCATAAAGTATGTCCGTTTTTTGTTCTGTTGTCGATCAAAGAACGTGTATTTTAAATTTTTAACACTTACTTGAACAGAAACTATGTATATACATGTATGTCAGAATTCAAGAACCGTTCTTGTTCACAAAATTGATCATAAACTTGGACTGAATCATAAAACAGATACAGGTTATTTCGCTTATAAATCTATATTAATAACGACAAAAGATTTGGCAACTACATATGAATGAATGCTTTCGACAACAGGTTAAAATAATATTACCAATACTAATAATAATGTATGTTGTTTTTTATGTATTTTTTATACTAAAAACATTATAAATTAATGAAAAATAATTTTTTTACAATATCTAGTAAGTGCTAAATAATGAGCAATAGACAAAACTGATAGCTGAAAATTGATAATATATGGGTGCAATATCAGATGCTAAAAATATCTTTACGTATACAACTAATTTGTGTTTACAAATTCGATATTATCGTGAGCAATTTAACATAGATAAATTTATATCAGATTATTATTGTATACTTATATGCACATGTGTCATAAGAAAAAATATATCGAATATTAAGGTCGTCCCATTCTTATGCATTTTTTATTCTCAATGTGAACCAACTTTATTATCTTGTTTTGATCAATATGTTTAAATCAATGAGCTTGATCTGTGTACAATTTTTATTAGTTATGTTTATGTAACATGTGATACAAGAGTATATTGTATTACTGATTATGTTCCAATGCATTAGCTTTCGTTAATCGTGATCCATGTCGATATGTCGAGTATTCTAATTAGGAAAATGATGTTTTTATATTCAGTTATGAATATGTCTAGAGCGTGATGACAAAAGTCTGGACGGATTGTATATGTCACTTTTAGATTGTGTAAAATTTTTATTATTCATGAATGCAGTTTTTCCAACTGTGGTTTTTTCAGTTTAGGAATAAAAATAAATAGGAAATCAACGTTTCACTCAACCATCTTATTATGGTTTTTTTTTGAAAACAGAACTCAAATAATAACTACGAAGTATACGAAAGTTTTGTTTTACCTATTTTTTTTCATTTTGTGTTAGTTTTTGAATAATACAAGATAATTAAATAAAGAAAGAAAAAAGTTTATTGTTGGACAATTTGTTAGAATCAAAAACCAGAGTAAAAAATTTTCGTTGTTATTTAATTTATTATAATAAAACCATAAAATGACAGTTCTACAATCATCATTTTAACGTTCTTTTTATAATAAAATTCATCTAACTGACGAGTATAACTGCAAAAAAAAAAATGAATATACTTTTTACTATATTCAAATAAACTATACACAATTATCAACACATCCTTGTAGCTTTCTTTTTGTCTATTTTGCTTTGTTTAAAAAACATGATTTGTATAATACAATAAAAAGAAAAATCGTATTAAACAATCGACTTGTTTACGTATATTATTCTGTTTGCCTCTAAAACTACTGTTATTGTTGAATATTATGATGCCCATGATAAAACAATTACCTACTATCTAGATGGCTGATATCAAAATGCCTTCATTTAAATTTCATCATTACTAAAGTTAGTCGTTATTAATTATAAATAAGTCATTGAGGATAAGTGTTTAATATATAAAATGTATACTTGATTTGTATTAGAACAATTTACTGTTGAACATGCATGAAAATAAACATATTCTCAAGGCAAACATTTTACTATTCTTTCATTTCTTTGCTTCAATACTGATAAACATGATGAATGACCAAATGCATAGGCGAATGACTGATTGAATGATTATGCATGTGATGTGCATCAAAGCCACTGATATGTAGAAGCATTTGGCCTTCAATCAAAATCACTCGTAGTAAACGTGTGCAATTTTTTTCTTTACATGCGTATCAAATGTACAACCATATATATCGATACAAAGCAACGTCAACGGAAAGTATTGGTAACAAGAAAAAAAAAACCGCAGAAAATTCCACACCCGACTAAACACCACGTATGAAAGAAAAGACACACCATCAGCTTATTCTCTATTTGAATATAAAGTGGTTTGTATTATCTATATATTGTGCAGTATTTTTAGACGTATATACCTTTCTTGGACTTGAAAAAAGGACAAACAAGTTGACGTTAATAATTCATGTCTTTCACCTTGTCTATATTTAATCTTCTCGTTATCTTTAGATTATAATTATAATTAAAACGTGATACTAGACTGAGAAATGTCTTACGAAGAGTCATCATTCTATCAAAACACTTCTGGTGGAGGTGAATTTGTCGGTGGTGAGTTTAACTTATTTTTTTTCAGAACAAACTTTAGAAATTTATACACCCATACATACATATGTACATTATTCACTTTTTTTTTTTTTTTTTTATGGATTACTTCAGATGAAGATGGTGTTGCCTTTGATGGAAATGCGGGAGGTATTGGTTATAGTGGAAGTTTACAGGGTGGTGCTTTTGTTGGAGGTTTAGAAGATGTAGCACAAGGAGGCTATGCAAGTTATGAATCCGCATCTGCAGCGGGTTACGGAGCTGAAGCAGTTCTTGTTGATGGCGGAGCTGGTGTTCAAGCAAGTGTTGGTGACTTAGAAGGTGGCTTGGAACAGCAAAATGTTTCAGGAGCATTTCTAGCCAGTGATGCTGCTTTTAGTGCTAGCAGCTTAGAACAACAATCATCTGCATCAGCAGCTTACGCAACTGATAGTCAAGGTCTCTATCAAGATCCTAATCCAGAAGTTATACGACGACCAGCTCCAGGCGGTCTACAAACATATACTCAACGAGTTCTCATTCGATTTTTACAACCACCAGCAGTTCCTCCACCAGGTGTAAGTATTTTAATGAGCAAATTGTACATAATTTACGAAAAAGAAAGATTTATTTTTCGGCAATTTTAGCCTCTTGTCATCAAAGAAGTTCGTCCACCTCAACCACCTCCACCTCCTCCACTTTACATACGTTAGTAAAAATTTGTTTAAAAAAATGTTATCTATGTACCTAATTATGCAGGACAACGTCCACCACCACCGCCTCCATTGCCACCAATTGTTATTCGTGAAGCTCCACCAAAATTGCCTCCACCAGTAGGCATACAAGGTACAATTATTAATAAGAGATAGATGAATTTACAAATGAAAATATTTTTAATTTTTAGTCATAACAAAGAGACTTCCAGCTTTACCAGTACCACCTCGTTCAGTAATCATTGAACGTTTGCCACCCCTACCACCTAAACCACGTGATATTATCGTCGAACGTTGGTTACCATATCGAACACAACAGAAACGTCGTGTTATTATTCAACGAGCTCCACCTCCAGTCATCCCAAAACCACGTAACATTATCATTTAGTATGTATAAAATCTTGATAGATCGAATAACACTTCTTCTAATTACTATTTATCTATAGTTACGAACCACCCAAGGCTCAAGTCGTTCGACGATTTCAAAATTTGGGTATTCAACGTGCTAATCCAGCTGAATACGTAGCACGTTATGGTACTCAATTGGAAGATGCTCAAACACTTCTCACACAAGCTCGACAAGCCGGTGTTGTCGAAGATATTGTAAGTCTATTTCAATTTAATATCTTTATATTATCAACTGCAAGAAAAATATACTAGTTATTATGACATTGTTTTGTCTATTTAGTCCCCTCCTGCTGGTGGAATATCAAATTTTCAATTATCCAATTATGAAAGCTATCAAGCAGGTGATATTGGTACTGGTGTTGGTGTTGGTGTTGATGCTGCTAACTATGGTGTTGGTTCATCCGCAGCCGATGTTTATGGTGTTAGTGGTGGTTTTTCTTCGATTGGAGATGGTGGTCTTGGTTGGGGCGAAGGTGCTGGCCTTAATTGGGCTGGTGGTGCTGGTGGAGTTTTATCAAACAGCTATGAATCATCTTCGTCTTACAATGCAAGTAGTGGTATTGGTGGTTATGATGAAGGTCTTGGATCATCATTTGGTGACCTTGGTCTTGTAGACAATACAAACAATGTTATTGGCGGTAGCTATGAATCGTATTCGTCACAACAAGCACTTACGCACTAAAATTAATTGACATTTTATTTTTCTGTGGGATAAATAGACTAGCTAATATAATAACGAAGTGCAGAAAGAACTAAGTATTCACGTTCTTCGCTGCTTTTTCAATTATTATAGAATTTATTGTTTCATTTGTGTTTTCATATCACTCTAGATAACAAATACCAATGATTAAATAAATAAAATATATGTATTAATTTTAAAATTAAAAAAAATCAAAATATTTATCTAGTAGAAAATTTTATCCAAAATATCAAAAGAGTAAAACTACGATTGATTTTTCAAAAATTTTATCTACTAACCAATGCATCGAATGTGCTTGGTTTTCAGTGATTATTTCTAAATGCACTGTGTGATGACTTTTTTTCATAACTAGATCGTTATTGAAGATTTATATATATTCAGAATCAGGAAGATCTCAATAATATTTGTACTAAACATTATGCTAGTCATTGTTAGAAAAAAATAATAGATGACACTCTCTACTAATTGATCGAGACAGAGAATTATAATTGTCTATCATAGAGATGACGCTAGTTAACAAAACTATCAAAATAGAAAAAATAAAAATGATCACGACGAAGATATGATGTAACAATATTGTAAGCTATGCCAAATTATTCTATGCAAATATCTTTTCAATAGATCCAGTGATAAGACGATTTGAACCAGTGCATTTGTGTATTCCTGATAGAAATTATGCAATGAATCATCCACACCTACTAGTAGACCTTCGTTTGTTAAACATGTTGAACCAATTGAATAATACCGAACGAACAAATGATAATTCTTTTGTTAAATGTACAACCGTTATAGTTATCATATCTTAAATACTTCGTAATTTAGATCGTGTACAAATGACGGAAATTCATCAACAAAATATAAAATCATCTGTAGTCAATAAATCTCATCGTTGTGCCAAGGCTAAATGTAATCGTTCATTGCCATGGAATCATCCAATATCATATAGTAATGGTTTGTGTGAACGACATTTTTTTTCAATTGATCTTTCATCAAGCGATGATGATGAAATTAATAGTAACAATAATTTAACTAATAAGTCAAAATTATTGTCGAAAAAAAGCCACATCTATTCAACAAATAATCAATATCAACCATCAAGAGGTGATATTCGAAAGACGCGTGAAATCTTTGATGGTCATCAATGGTAATATAGTTGTTTTTGAAAATTACTTATTCTTAATATTTAATAAAGGTGTATGATTGAACAAACAATTGATTATGTATCATCGATAATCAGTAAATTAATTCATTTAAAATTAACAAGAAATAAATCAATGAATAAAATAAATTTTTCTTTTAGGTAATGATAATTTCGATTTGATAACAACAAGAAAATATAATGAAGAGAATTTATTACAAATTCTTCATTTATTATCAAATTATCAAACTGTTAAAGATGAATTAAAAGTAAAAACTCAAATTGAATAATTTTCTAATTATAATCATTGTTTTTTATGTTGTTATTTTAGAAACAACAACAAAATAATTAAATTAATTGATATTTTGTCAGATTTTATTTTTTGTTTTCTTTTTCTTACAATTGAAATAGATATTTTATTTTTCTATAGAAATAAAATGAATTAGATGAAATAATTTTTTATTTTATATTGTAGATGTTTATTCAAGCAAATGGATGAAAGACGAGTTCAGAGTAATGATTTTTCTTTTGAATTTTAAAATTTTAAAATGAAATTAATTTTTTAAATTTACAGAACTTTTAAAAGAAGCTGAACGAATTTATCATGTTGGTTCACGAAATCCAAACGAAAAAATTTATATTTATCATGAAGCAGCTGAAGCATGTCGTTCTATTGGTAATTTTCTTCAATAATAATGAGAAAACTATTTCAATCGAATTTGTAATTTTTTTTTTGTAGGAAAATATGATCAAGCTATAAAATATTTTACACTTGAATTAGATGAAGCACAAAAAGCTGATTTACGTGAAGATATTCTTTATTGTCATCGATTTTTAGGTGAATGTTATTTTGCTAAAAATGAATTTTCTACAAGTGAAAAACATCATTTAAATTTTTTATCATCAGCACAAGAATATGCTGATGATGAACGTACTGAACAAGCATATACATGTTTAGCACATACTTATTGGGTATGGTTAAGTTATTTACAAGATGAAATATTACATGATTCTGAACGTGATCAATTTCCACGTGAAATAGGTAAGAAAAGTTTAGATGCAGCAAAAAATAGTTTATTAATGATTGAAAAACTTGATTATCAACTTAAAATTGATATGAAAACAAAACAAAATATTAAAATAAAAGATATTGAAAAAAGACAACAAGATTTAGCATTACGACGTGTTCGAACATATATCAATATTGGTAAATGAAATTATTTAAAATTAACTTTCATTGACAAAATATTTTATTATTTATTTAGCCAATGCTATGAGTGAAAAATATACAACTGGTGATAAATCTGGCGCTAATCTTAAAGCTCTAAGTCAATATATTAAAAGTGCCATAGAACTAGCCAAGTAAATAGAATTCTTTTTCTATTATCATTTGTTCACAAAAGAAAAATACAGATAATATTGTAAAAAAAAGAGTTATTCGGCTGGTAGTTCGAGATCGAGGAACTGAACTAACATCAATCATCCAGTTCTTTTAAAAAGAACTGGAACTCATAGCTAATTCGTTTCAAAAGAGCTGAGCTGTTCAAGCAGATTGGATCTAGACGTGTAACAGGTCTCACTTATATAAACCTCTTCTGTTTTGAGAACTGAATATAGTGATCAGTTCTTTTTTTAAGAGATCTACAAGAAATTAAATTTGATTCAATTCTACTTTTATGATTTTCAGGCTACTATAACTTTCCTATTATTCATCCTCTAGTCTCTTTAATCCTTTTGGATGTGGATTGGGCCTGTATGTGCATGAATGGACGTGCTTCTTTCATTGACACCTAAAAAGACTAAAATATTTTTACAGATTTAAAAGTAATGTAAGCATAAAAGTAAAACAGGATATATTTGATTTCGCATAAACCTATACAGTTCACAGAAACTGTGAACTGCTACAGGCCCATATATGAAATATTTTTCAATTTGAATGAATATCTCTCCCTATTTCTAGTTTTCGTTTTATAAATATATGCTATGACTTGTTTTTTCGATCTTCTTTCATTCTAGAAAGCATCAACTACATGAAGAATTAGCACGTCTGCATTCATCAGTATCTACGTTCTACTTAAGTGTTCCAAATTTTTTACTATACAAGAAAGAAATCATTGCTACTATGGAACAAGCTTTACGTTATGCACAATTAGCAAAAAATACAACTGAATATTTATCATGTTTACATGATATTGCTCAAGTAAAATTTTGATCATCGAATATTTTTGTTTTTAAAAAGAAAAGAATAATTTTGAAAACTTCTTTTTAGGCACTTCTGTTATTTGATGATTACCAAGGTGCAAAAAATTATCTTTTAAAAATTTATCGATATCGAAAAAATGATCCAATCAAAGAAAAAGCTCTTCGTGATTTAGCTGATGGTAAAACTCCTATAATTGAAAATATTATTATTATTAATTATAGAATCATTCAATTTTTAGTTCAACGAATTTTAACTGGACTTGAAGATCGATATGATAAAGAAATAGATTTAAGAAAAAAAATGCGTTTAGCAGAAAAATGTGCTGATACATTTTCTCGTCTCAAGCGAAATGAACGAAGTAAAAAATATTATCTAAAACAAGTAATAAATTTAAAATTTTAATTTCCCAAAAAAAAAAACTGAAGATTTAACAAAAACAAAATCAATCTTATTTAGTTAAAACATGCACAAGAATTAAATTTAGATGAAAATGAAATGGCAACTATTTATTCATCACTTGGTAGTATTTGTCAAGATTTACAAGATTGGCAAGAAAGTATTAATTATTTTCGACGTGAAATGAGTTGTCGAATTGGTTTAGGTTCACGAGCTGATGTTGAAGTATTCTATTTTGATTTTTTTTTGCTTTGAAATTAAATTAAATGGAAAATTTTATTTCTTTTTTTTTTAGCAAGGTTATTCTCTTTGTGAAATAATTAAATGTGAATATCGTCTTAAAATTGATCTTGATGTACGAATAACAACATTTAAACGAGTTTTAACTATAGCTCGGTCAACAAATGATCGAAGTTTAATTGTAAAATTCCATTTGTTTTTTTTTCTGAGTTTAATCATCGAATATGTTTTTATTTGTAATAGAGAATGGCAGCTTCACTTGTATTTGGTATGAAATTACGTGATCCACGTATACGTTTGGATGATGATTTAGAAGAATTTATGGCTAATATTCAACCATCAATAACAAAAGAAAATTATAGCGAAATTTTACGTCGTACAGAACGTAGTAATAGTGAAATAACAGATTCTTTACAATCCAATGAAGATAATGATGATGAAGATATTAATGCAAATGAAAGTGATAATGATGATGATGAAGCAATTTTAGCAACACTTTCAGATGAAACAGAAAATGAAGATGATAATGATGAAGATGAAGATGAAAATGAATTAGATTCAACGATACGTGGTAAAAGTCGACAAGTACATGAATATTTACTTGTTGTTAACAAAGATTAATGTTTCTTTTTTTTCTTTTCTATAGAGAAAAAAAGTTTGGAGAAATTGTTATGGTGAAAGCCGTTTACATTTAGCTTGTAAAGAAAAAAATGGTTTAAAAAAAGTCAAACAATTTATTTCTGAAGGGGTAAAAAAAAATATTTTTTTATCTTATATTTATCTTATATATACACATATATATAAACATATAGGATGATATTAATCTTCAAGATAATCACGGTTGGACACCATTACATGAAGCAGCTAATCATGGACATATTGATATAGTTCGATATCTTCTTGATTGTAAAGCAAATATTAATATAAAAGCTAATAATGGAATAACTGCTCTGATCGATGCTTGTAATAGTGGATGCTTAGATATTATTGAAATATTACTTTCATATGGTGCAAAAACAAATATTCGTACAAATAATGTTTGTTTATTTTAAAAAATTTTTTCTCTTATTTAGAAAATAAAAAACAACAAAATATTTGAGTGTTTTAGGGTTATACAGCTGTTGATTATTTAACATTATACAATGAAAATATGTCACCAGACGATCATCGAAAATTTAATCGTTTAAAAGAATTACTTTTAGCTTCTATGAGAAGTAATTAATTGTTGTTTTTTTTTACATAGATCATCATCGATGAATTTCTAATGTTTAGAGGATGAACCAACTTATTGCACACAAAAAGTTGTTCGTAGTGATTTTGGAAACGAATCAGATGAGGAAGAAACGTAAGTATAACTAAAATAAAAATATTCTACAATAAGAAAAAAAATAATAAAATATTTTTTCTTTAAATAGAACATTAACATCAGAACACAATTCCAATAGTAATGATAGTATCGATGATAATATAGAAAATCATACTAATAAACGACCACAATATAAAAATATAATGAATAATATTCGACGCGGAATTCGAACAGATGATGATGCAACAGCTAATAAACGAGTATGTTTCTTGTTTTTTTAATGAATTTATTAATAGAATTTTTATAATTTAAAAAAAAAAACAATAATTTAGTCACCTTTAAAAATGAAAAAATCTAAATTAACACCATTTGTATCTGATGCTGAATATGAGCGAATAAGTACTAATGAGAAACATTGGGTTGTTGATGATACAGAACCAATTGAAATTGAAGATTCATCTGTTTCAACAACAACAAAAACACGAAAACAACATCTTCAACGATCACGTTCACCATCAGTATCATCATCACATACACCAGCACGTAAACGAAGACGAACAATAACTGATACTAAATCTCCAGTAAAAATTTCTACATCTATTCCTCCATCTCTTCCACAACTATCAAACGATATTGATCTTGTTAATTTTGATGATTTGGATTTATTTTCACCATTAAAAAAAGAATCACCTGTATCATCTCGTCCTACTACATCACTTTCACCAGTTCTACAAGTAATGACACCAAAATCAACAACAAGATCTCGACATCCATCATCAACATCATCGACCAATACAATTACAACAACTACAACTATACTTCTTCCATCTTCAATTTCACATGATCGAACTACAAGAATTATTCGATGTTTAGCAAATACAATTCAACGAACAAGCGAAGATAAAAAACTTCGAATACCAATGTAAAAATCAGTCAAAAGTTTTTCTTTTTTTTTTTTATAAAAATTTATTTTCTGGAATCTTACAGGTCACCATCGGACACTCTAACAAGTCTTCGTTATCAAGTTCTCAAACGATTACATGATAATTTTAATATTTATGCATGTTCTGTGACACTTTATGATCGACAAGATTGGGAATATATTTTATATTTAGATAAAAGCAACTTATATTGAAAAAGATCCAGTTCTTGTATATGAACAACTTTGTAAAACAAATAAAATTGGTAAGAAAATTATTTTTCTTTTTTTTTGTTCGGAAATTTAAATGAATGAAGTATTTTTTTTTCTAGCTGCTTATTCAAATATTCGATCAGCATTAAAAATGTTTTTTGATAAATTTGAATTATCACTTCAACGGTTAAGTTTAAAATTAGAACAAGCTATATGTATATTACAAGTATTTGAAAATTTCATGTTTATTTATTCAATTAATTTATCAGGTAATAATGATTCGTCTTTATTTTAGAGAAATTTTATCAATTTGTTTTTTTTTAAAGAAAATAATCTAACTGATGGAATATTTGATCAATTAGGAAAATTATGCTTAGATCAACTTAAATCATTGAATATTTCACGAAATAAATTTACTTCCAATGGAATACGAAAATTATTTGAACAAAAAGTGATGGTAAAAACGAATCAAAATCATTTTTTCATATTTATATTTTATTATCTATTTAGAATAATTTACTTGTACTTGATTTAACCGGTAATACAGATATTGATTATGTTACATTAACTTTTATCCGAACTCGGCATCCAAATCTTACTGTATACCATTGAACAAATTTACTACTGTTTTTTTTGTTTATTGAGGAAAAAAAAATACTAATTCCATACGAACAAATATCATATTGACTTTCTTTTTCTAGATAGATATGACTTCGTTTTTGTGGCCTTCGTCACCATTGGCAACAATTACTGTCCTAGTCTCTCTTTATTGTCTTCCTGTTAGTTATCTTGGTCTACTTTGCAAATTTTATATAATCGCTTATCTAATATCCATGTTTATCGGTTATCTTTTTTCATCAAAACGACAATCACATCGTTTATCTCTTGTGGCTAATCGATCATCCTATGCACTTGTTACTGGTGCATCATCTGGTATAGGTGCTCAAATCTGTCGTCATTTAATTCGACATGATTTTAATTTAATTATGGTTGCAAGATCACAAACAAAACTTCGTATATTAGCAGATGAATTTCGACAAATCAATGATAAAATTAATATTCATATAATTATTCAAGATCTTACCGAATTAAATGCTGCAGAAAATTTAATCAATAAAATTGATGCTTTAAACGATGTTAACATTGATATACTTATTAATAATGCTGGTCGAGGGTGTACAAAACCGTTTTTGCAAATATCAGCAAACGATAATACATATGAACAAATGATTGCTCTTCATGTATGTGTTCCTACTCTTCTTATTCGTCACTATTTACCTAAAATGCTCGATCGACCCTCACGTATAGTCAATATTTCTAGCGAAATATCTTATATGTCATCACCACGTGCTGCTATGTATGCTTCAACAAAGGCTTTTTTAACACAATTAACTACATCTCTTGATTATGAAATAGAACAGATCAATGATAATAATAATGTTTCTTTTTTATTGGTCACACCTGGACCAACATTAAATACGGAATTTGATCGTCATGATGAATCCATTATATTTCGTCTTCCATTTGTAACTTTAACAGCTGAACAAGTTGCCCAACAAATTGTTGATGCTTGTTTACGTGGTGATCGTTTATGTACACCTGGTTGGGCTAATCAATTCTCTATATGGTTAGCGACAAAAGTATCACTAAATTTTGCAAACCTCATTTGTTGGATTCTTTGGGCATCATGGCCTGAAGTTAAACGATGGCTATATGAACGACGCCATTTAATAATTGTTTGTTTTAATCTAGTATTTTTTCTTTTTCTTCTTGCTTGTTTTCTTTTGGTTAAAATAAGTCGGCAATTATATTATCATTTTTTTTGAAAGTAACAAATAACTTTTTTTTTCTAGATGGATAAAATTGTTGAAAATCTTAAAAAGCAATTAGAAAAACCCAAAGTTACAAAAGAAGAAGATGGTAAAGAAACTTCATCTTACAAGAGCATATGTCCAACAGTCAGATACCGTTCGATTGCATATTTTGTTCATAAATAATACTTGACAAGGCTAAGAAAACTGTATATTAAACACTTCAAATCTCAAATATTGAAAAGAATAAAGAAAAGTAACGAAAAAAGAAAACGTACAATCAGTTATTTATTTAGATTTATGAGACCATTACTGCTCTGTTCACGAACAAACGATGGATTCGAAAATTTCTAAGTTTACTTAGCCTTATTGAATCTTGTTTGTAGGACAAGACATGGGGTTAAATGGCGTCTGACAGTTTTGCATGTGCCTTTGTCAAAGTTGACTAGAGACTTTTTTATTTTATTTCATTTTAATTTTTTGTAGAACTTGCTTTATTTACAAAATATTTGAGAGAAGGGCATGAGGCGCTTCATCATGATGTAACAACAACAGCAAATAGAAAATCGAATATACATAAAGATGTAACAACAGTACATTCTCAACATCATATGTCAAAAATACCGAAATTTTATGAACATGTATGGTGAAAGATATTTTTCAATAATATAGATTTATGTGTATTAATTCAATTATAGATTCCAACTGATCCACTTGGTAGAAAATTACGTGAAGAAGCACGTGCTTTATTTCTTCATCGAAAAAGTCAAGAAATCATTAGTAGTGATGAAGCAAATGTAAAAAATTAAAAAATTATCTAATTAATATTATTTATTTGTTTATTTATTTATTTGTTAGTCGTTATTGACATTATTAGAAGAAAATGCTTCACCTCCACTTGATCCTGACTCACCAAAAATTAATTATGATGACTTTATGAAAGTCGTTCAAAAAGCAACTCCAGCTATTGCGTATGTTCTTATCAAACTCTTTCAAATTTTTAAACCGATATTAATTCTAGTAATCTTTTTCCGCCAACAATTTTTGCTGATCTTTATCAAAATGATCCTTATGGTCGTGTACGTATACTTGATTTATATCAATATACAATGCGTAAAATGTGGTATCATCATTCTCGTATGGGTTTATCACTTTATGATAGTATCGGTCAAGGATATCTTCGAGAATCTGTAATGTTTATGTCTCTCTATAATGTCAATTCTCATATAAAAATATTTTAAAATATTAGGATTTAGAAGATTATATATATGAATTAATTCCAACAATGCATCAATTATCACAATTACAAGAAACTTTTTATAAATTTTATGTCTGTACAGCAGTACGAAAATTTTTTTTCTTTCTTGATCCATTACGTACAGGACGTATTGCTATACCAGATATACTATGTAGTGGTTATCTTGATAAATTACTTGAAGTAAGCAATAACAACAACAAATAGATTCTGCTTATCTGAATTTTTATTTAGTTACGTGAAGAAGATGCTGATGTAGATGATCTTGAACAAAATTGGTTTTCATGTCAATCAGCATCAAAAATTTATACACGTTATTTACAACTTGATAAAGATCATAATGGTTTATTATCACGAGATGAATTAACTAAGTAAAATCTTGTCTTTATATTACTATTTTATATTTAATATTTTCTTTTTCTTTGATTTGAATTTAGATATAATTCAAGTACATTAACACCTGTATTTATTGCACGTGTTTTTCAAGAATGTTTAACATATGGCGGTGAAATGGATTACAAATCATATTTAGATTTTGTTCTTGCACTTGAAAATCGAAATTCACCACAAGGTCTTCGTTATCTTTTTCAAATTATGGATACTGAAAATAAGGGTTTTTTACATCCGGGTGATTTGAATTATTTTTATCGAGTAAATTTTATTTATTCATTTTTATATATGAAGATTAAATTTTTATTTTTTTCTTTAATAAAGGGAATGGTTCAAATGCTATCCACAAGACCACTAACTGATATACCACCCTTCAATAATGTTCAGAATGAAATATTTGATATGGTTAAACCTGTTGATTCAATGCGTATTACATTAAAAGATCTTATTAATTGGTTATTTATTAATATCAATTTCTATATTCATTTTTGTTTTTTGGTACATTTTCTTATTTTTTTTTAGCGGTCAAGGTGGTTTAGTACTTTCAATTCTTATTGATATTGGTAGTTTTTGGGCTTATGAAGTAATTCAATAGAATATTCTTGTTGGTTTTAATTTAATTATTTTTTATTTTTATTTTAGAATCGCGAAAGTCTTATGCCACAGCAAGCACCAACAAAAGATGACTCAATTCATGTCTGATATCCTTCAAAACAAGAGAATAACTTTTTATTTGTTTGTTTTTTTTTTGTATACTAATATTTGTTTGTTTGTATGAACTAATACTCAAAAGAATGAATAATTAGAAATGATTTATTTCTATTAAGAATAATGATTTCAGATAAAGATTTCCATGATATGAATAATACCCAATCTCCTTCATGTTTACATCAATTTTCTTGGGAAGAATGGGATAATCAAATGATTGTTGTATTATATCGGTAATTATTTATGTTTATCTCTTAAAGAAATTTTGTTAATTATAAAAACTATTAGATCTGATCGACGTTTTGTTGTTAAACGATACATTGAACGAGTTCTTGCGAATTCTTCTCAATGGGAACAGTTAGCTCAATCATCATTTTCAATAATAGAACCAATTGCTCAAACCTATACAATGACAGAGAATGAAGTTAAATTAATGCATCATATATTTTCATGGCATCTTAATGGAACTTTAACATTTCCAATTATTGGTGGACGTAAGTGCAATTATTTTTGATCGTTTAGTTTGATGATATGTTTTGAATTAGTCGACCAATTACTTGATTGGGAAGACATACTTGATTTTATTGAACGAGCACAGCAAACTTCGAAAAATGATAAACAAAATGAATCAAAAACAATAAGTTCACCTTCGATTGTACCAACTATTCCTGTTGGAACATCATCTTCAAAAATAACAATAAAAAAAAGTGTAGAAAAGAATAAAATTTCAGGAAATCTAGAACTAAATAGAGAAGATAGAACACCAATTAAAAAAAATAAAAAAGGTATTGATAATGAAGGTAACTACTTATAAAAGTTAAATTTATTCTTATGTAGTTCAACAACAACAACAACAACAACAACAACAACAACAACAACAACAGCAACAATTTTTTCATGAAAATATGTTATCATCTTCATCAAACCATTGGGTACAAATAAATAATATTTGTGTTCCGTATATAATTAAATCTCAACAATCATGTCTTCTTCCTTATCAAGTTTTACTGGATTGTGATTTATTTAATGAACAAGAACAATCATTTCTTCTTCATTTTACTATAAAAGCTAGTTCAAATGATATACAAACTTTTAAAAGAATTATATCATCATCATCATCATCTTCAATCGATTTTACACTAAATAATCATTTACTTCTTATTGATCTGTATCATTTAATATTCGGAATGTCCAAAGTTGCTTATGTTAAATTACTTAATAATCAACGTGATGTGAACAAAAGCTATAAAACGTATGATCATTTGAACAAATTTTAAACTAATAATCTTATTTCCTACAAGCAGTTATCGAAATTTTAAAATTATATAAAATAAAAGTTCAATGAGTCTTTATTTTGAATATTTTTATTTGTAGAGTCTTGGCACAACGTGGTGGTACTGTTATTGTTCGTTCTCGTTTAGTTCCGTTTATCAATCTTGGTAAATTCAATTGTGTTTTGCTTGATTCATTAATAGAGATCTTACAACCAACAGCGAGAACTATATCTATTCTTCGTCGACATTCTCTACCTGCTCATTCTCATGAAATTGATTATCTTCGTCTCGTACAATTCTATCAACGAAAATATTATCAAGATGATAGTATTGTATTAAATCAAGAACAACAGTTACTTGTGAACATTAATGAAATTTCTAAATATGTCGCTAAAAATGATCTTGTTATTGATATGTTATTAACACAATATCAACAAATTGAATATCAAAAATTAAAAAACCAAATAGAGAGAATTGAAAATAAACAAAAACGAAAGCCAATAAAACGTAAAGCAAATATAGCAATGACTGAACTTCAAAATATAGCAACAGAATGATAATAAAAAAATGATATATGTGACCTTTTTTGTAAAGTTAATTGTTATAATACTTCTTTTTGTTTGATATTTATTTCGAGTCAAGTGTCAGATATTCTATCTTTGTATAAAATAATAGTAGTATAGCCTAATTCAAATATGTCTGTTAATGATAATATTTCTAAATAATTTTCTGTTTTATTACAATTATCTTCAGCTAATTGATTGATCTTGGAATGTCCTTGCTTCCCATTTGTCATCTTCCTACCATGAAAAGATATGAGTTGTATCAAAATTTACTTTGTTTCTATTTTTATAAAGTGCTTCATATTTACAACAAAGTAAGTCATTTCATGATGAGCTTCAAGTAATATTCAATTATTCAAGTATCCATCAATTATCATTTATCTTTGTGGATTAGATCATTTTCATATGTATTTTCTTGTTAATGAAATATCTTGACAAGACAATGTAGCTTCTACTTTCTTTTCTATTGAATTAAATATAATAAAAATCATATTATTCGGTCAATCAAGTTATCACATGTAATTTATGTTTCATTAGGAGATAAACGTTATGAACCTTTTAACCCTTTGAGGACGGAATTTTTTTCTTCATCAAAAAGTAGTTCTTCAATCATGTTATTTTATTTAGCTCAAAATGATTACATAAAAATCTTATGATAATCAAAAAAAAAACAATTTTTTTCATCTTTTAAACAAAATGCTGATTTGCAAGTGAAACATTCGATGTTTGTTTTAACTTGTCCTTTTTCTTACTGCACTAAGCACAACTTCTTCATGTTTCTTTTACAGACAAATACATTTCATTCTCAAAACGAAAAATAGATTGTGAAGATGCTGGTTTAGGCTTCTTCTCAGGGGAAAATCTTTCAAGGTTTATTCGCTCAATATTAAAGCAGAAAAACTTCGGTACTAAAACCCGTAGCTTCTCAATAGAGATACTTTTTAAATAAACATTCAGCTATTTAAAGAAACATTCATAGCTATTTAAATCTTGGATAGCTATTTAAACATTTGCATAGCTATCTAAAGCTTCCGTGGCTATTTAAAATGTAGCGCTTTTACGACATGATCGTAGTTATTTAATTAAGCTAGCTATTTCATGCAGATAGCGGTTTAAAATTTACAGCTTTTAAAACATAATAATAGGAATACAAAAGTTGCAGATCACTATTTAAACAAAATTCGTAACAGCAAAATTCTTCAGATATCTGTTGAATTTTTGTCTGTGTAGCTCGATACTTTTCTGTTTACTTAAATAGTTAACACAAGTTTCATCTAACAAAGTTTTGAGAAAAGGACTTGAAAAAGTGAACATAGCCAATGGTTAAATTTTCCACCAGTAGAATAATTATTTATTTGTTTTGAAGTGTATGATAATCGATTGAATGAACAAGGAACAACAAAAATATACAACAGAGTCTATTTATTGTTCCATTAACAGTATA